ACTTTAAAAGCACTGTATATCCATGAAATGGTTTACAAACTAAATTAGGTAAATTAAAGTGAAATCCTTTGTCTTTTGTGAAATTTGTTCGTCACACTTTCATATTTCCTTCTGTGCAAATAATGTCATATTTAATAATATATTGGTAATATTGATGGTATAATCAGACAAGATGGAAGCAGCTGACTTCACTGACTGACGGCTTTGAACAAACCAACGATAAACAGCTTTATGAGCATTAAACAGAGRTGAAATCATTGACGCCGAAAAACTGAGCAAAAGCTACGAGTTATTGAAAGAAAGTGAGAGTAATTATTTCGGTAGCCAATTTTACTTCGCTCATAGACAATGTGTTCACGACGCCATTTTGAATATTATAGTCTGATAGGGATTATATTCCTCGCACTAACCCCTAAAATATCTTCCTAAAAGCCGTTTCTATATATGTTTTCTTTGTAGAAACGGCACAACTCTATTTTTGCCAAGAAAAAAACGACGGCTTCGGAGGACTGTTAAAGTGCATCGATAACATCTCACATCATGTTTTGTTGCAAAAAAGTGTCGCTTTACATTCACKGTTTTAATACGTTTTTCCACTCTCTCCCGTATTGAATAACAASATACATGCCTTTATTTAGATCGGCTTGAGGAAATAATCAAAACATGAAAACAAGATTAAATCACGTCTATTTGCTCGGTTTCAGTGTAACTGGAAGTGCTCCTAATAATGTGGCAAAGAGTCCGACTTGTTCAGATTTTACAGTTAATGTGGCTATACATCCTTTAATTAATCCTGGAGATTGAATTACGCGCTTAAAAAGGCAAGCAAAGTGGTATTGAGTCAACTGCTAATGGGATATATACATAAGATTARAACGAAAAACCTAGAGAGAGAAGTGAAACGAAGAAAAGGTGAGAATGGAGTTATATACAATAATTAATATAATTAAAAGAGAGAGAGAATCTAGACAGAAAAAAAAATGAGTTCTTTAAACATGAAAAGAGAATTTGGAAAAGAACAGATATTAAACAGCAGGAGAAGGCGATCAAAACAAAACTTAGGAGAGAGTGAAGTAAATAMYTGAGGATTGCAAAGTGAGAAGGAATGGATAATTTAAACGGGAAACAACGTAGAAGAAAAAAAGGACAACAGAAAATGTGAAGCAAAGAAAAGTGAACATATTGCTAGGAATAGGAATTGAGGACAGAGAAAAAACAAGAAAAAAAATAAGAATAGAAAGATAAGCAAAGGGAGAAGACCTGAATGACCTGCGCGATTGWAAATAAGAGTTAAACTAATTATAAACATCATACTATATTCTTGATATTTTATTATCATCATTATATATACATTTACCGTACAGCTGCGATGACAATTAGTAAAGGATATCCTAGGGATTACGCAAATTACAAGTTTTTGCTGAGCCAAAGCCGAGCGTTAGGCACCTAATTCAAGAATATTTTGTATGCCATGGTTGTCTAGTTTGAAAAAAAAGAAAGACGTCGTCGAGCCATAGCCGAGCGTCAGACATCACTTTAAGCGATTTCTTATAAAGCATGGAGGCTTGTTCAAAAGTGGAATGCGTTGTTGATCCAGAGCCAATAGTCAAAATATCTTTTCAGTAATTGCCTAAATGACATCCTAGAGGGCCAGCCACAGCCGAGCATCAGACATTCTTTGAGCAATTGTTCGTTTGGTTTTGAAGGCTACTTCAAGAAAGGAATGACGTTAKGTTGTTGAGACACAGCCGAGCATAAGACCGCCTTTTCAGCAATTGCCAAAATGGCTTTCAATGTTAGTTAAAAATGCAAGACGATGTTATGACACAGACGAGCATCGGTCGTGTCTTTTTGAATAGCTGACATCGATGGAGGCATTGTCGCCTAATGATTGACAAATGAGACAAGTTGTTGTGCCACAGCCGAGTCGAGCATCTCCATACATGACTGAAAGACAGCSTCGCCATGGGCGCTTTGGCTTTCATTTAACTTGGACCCAACAAACTGCCAAAGTGGGATGCGGTGGACTGGGTCAGCTAAGGTCATCTAGTTGAACATTGAAGTTCTCATCAGCAAAACGACCCAAACATTAATACTTAATGCGGAAGGTATTTTTTGAKATTTTTCGATATCAAATTACATTGACGTGAATATAAAATGCTTTATATCTTTCAACAGCAGATCAATCTGCTGTTGAAAGATGTTTCTACAAATAACAACATACATTRGAACACCACATAACGACCACGAACTTAATAMGACCACCCCGTTCATATRTCCAGATTTTTATGTCCAGGCATAATTAATCCYAATACATTCCTKCCCGACTAATACAMCCACCCCGTCCATACGYCCAAACCTTTTTGTCMGTGCAAAATTAATCCCCTTACATTTCTGCCCGAATTACACGACCAACTCGTCAATACGACCACTTTTCGATGTCCCTTTRGTGGCCGGATTAACGAGAATCCAGTGTAAAAAACCTTACTACCTTCTTTCTTCGTAACTGACTTTCGGTTTCTGTTTCATCACTGGGGACGTTCCCTTCTTGAAATAACACAAGACAACTGAAAAAAAATAAACGGCCGTTAACCCTGGTACCAAGAGAACCTTTAATACGATAGAAAAACTACCAAACGGTAACATAGCGCCCTTATTAAACAATTATAAGCATCATGGTGCGATAGTTGCCAGTAGTAAATGGATGTGCAGATGGCATTCTCGTACCCAGGTCCTTCTCAATTCCCAACGGAAAAATCGAAGGTTGGAGATGATACCTGAAGACCCAGAATCTGGGTCGTACGATATAAACATACTGATGGTGCATGGGAATTTTTGAACCAATCCAATCAAAGACTCACTCGTCTCCAATCAGAGCCTTCGATTTTCCGTTGGGAAAGTGAGACGGATCTTGGTATTTTGATGGATCGAGAATGTGGAGATCGCAGTTGATTGAGGAATATCCAGTTTTCAAGGGCAACAACAAAAACAACAAAACAAAATTTTCTGRAGCGGCGGGCTCTATGCACTGATTGTACCCCTTCGTGGCCGGCACTATCGCGCCACGCGGTCGCGGCCGACTCTCGACCAATGACAACGGAGGAAATGTRTTTATTAATTATATTTTAAGCGTTGGTGTGACTACGTGACTTCCAGTAGCAAAGGGCCGATAGGAAACTTACTCAGTGTGTACACCATCTTCATTCCGATGAACYTCATGTAACACGTCAACGACTGCATCTAGTATGAGTGCAAACCTATCGGTAATACACCTAAATAAAAACAATAGATCAATAACTACAAAGGGTTCGAGGCATCCTCGGAAGCCTAGTGGAAAGGGAAAGACGAGGAGGTGCTTTGAGTGTGTGGAGGCAGAATGCAGTTGATGAGAATATAGTTGAAAGGAAGCATAACAGGAGGGCTGCTATACGGATATTTTCCGTGTTTTTATTCTCTGTGAGAAAAACGCAGCAATGTTGGGAGAACACGAGAACAGGTTTTGAATTACAAGCTGAAAGCGAACAATCCTAAGTTACGGGAAATAGATTCAAGTCCTTTAATAGGCGATATGCATTATGGCGTCATTTACTACAACTACCAGAATGCTTTGCCAACTTTCTTTTGTAATGCAATTAGTGTCAATTGTTTTATTAATCCAAGGGGATTAAAAATCTGAATAACAATGAAAATGCGCAAGGCACTCTGGTAGTTGTAGTAAAGTTACGTCATAATGCAAACGCCCTATTAACAAACAACAGATGATAACGCTTTGATTGAAAGCAGTTTTTCTACRCTCTCATAGAAACGGTTATTTTTTTACGTTTCGGCAAATCAAAGCACACGTTATATAATAGTTATTTTATAAACTTACTTTGAAGTGTAAGGTAGCATTGACGCCAGCGCCATTACAGTMAGCTTACGCCTCTCTAGTCGCGTCATGCAATCAAGCTGGAAAGAAAAGGATATCATTCTACATGTACTAGGTAGGTGAATATATGGGAACCCTAATGTCGTCATAATCATCATCACTATCATCGTCGTCATAATGATAGGGATTAGGGGTATTTAGACTTATAATGCACCGACGGCAACACCACCATTATCATCATCATCACTATCATCGTCGTCATCATCGTCATCATTATCATCATCGCCATCATTATCATCATTACAATCATCATCATCATCGTCACCATCACAAATGTGGCCTGGAACAAAACCTCTGACCTCATTCATAATAGTTTCATACTCTACCACACTGAGCAGCCCGTTGTCGCTTATGGCCCTATTCCCAGGAAGGAGATTACAGGATCAAGGAATTAAATAATGTACATTTACCTTGTCTAAGCAAACATCGAGGAATTGACCAAGGAGATCCATGCTCTGGAATAATTAAATAACAAATTAACAACAATTTTGAATGAAAGGGCTTTGAAACATCGACATTTAGTTTTAAAGTTTTGCACAGTGGTACTTTCAAGTAGTCACTACCGGGATTGTCAATGTGGCAATTTATTCTGATAGAGGCTGGACGCTAAACAGAGATTGGATAGCCCAAATGTGTGTTTTTATTGTGGCCGCTTAAAAGAGGTCTCATAGTAAATGGGAGAATCTACGTAGCACTCAGTTGATGTAATATATTCATAAAGATATAATACAAAACACATAATACAAWAKAAMGAGRRACARTGGAATACAATACATTTTATGAATACATTACATCAACTGCGTGCTACGTAGGTCACCCCCATAGTAAATGGTGCTAATCACACTAGAAAATTCAAAACATCGTCTATTGACATGTGAATAGTKGAAGGGTGATTAAAATACAAACACCAACTGCACGTCACCCAACCTCGTTCCCAGGCCCTTATCCCTTCGCTTAGGATCAGGTGAAGTGATTAGGGCCTGGGAAAGATGTTGCACGTTACCTGGGTACTAGTCATTCCAGACATATTCTCGATAAAAGAGAAAAAATACGACGGGTTTTGCAGCATAATTTCCCCAAATATACATAAATAGATTACAAGTAACGGGGTGTATTCCTGAAAGAGAATAAAGAATGATTGAATTGCTAAGTTGTGCCAAAATAAAGGTAGTTGAACAAATGAAAACAACAACAACAACAACAACAACAAAATAGCTTGCAAATTCCTATATGCGTCCTATATATCTTTCGGCTATTTCGAAATTCAAAAATGGACTGATCGTGATGCCTAGTCAAAAACTCCATCGAGTTTGAAGCAATAAAGAAATGAATTCCATAAGAAAGAGCATATTATGAGAAGAGCAGCAAAGTTTTAGAGTATTTGGATGAATAATTACAGAGTGACAAGCGTCCAAAATTTGGAAAAAAAAGAAGCAAAGAATGTATGTCCCAAAAAAACATACAATCTCTTTTATTATATCTACAAATTTCAGTTTTTAATGAATGGGCTATCTACTCGTTTTAGAGGTGAGTTTTGCGAGCTGAAAAACCCTATGGGATAGCAACAGGAATGACGTCATGCTTGTTGGCGGACCAACAAATCAGAGCGCGAGTTACATTTCAAATACTTAGCATAGCAAATGTTTTTTTCCACAGGTAACCCATACCTCATCTTGGAATAATGCTATTTGGAATATCTTCACTAGTACTGGCTGAAGAAGCTGAACGCCTTCTGCAGGAAATGACTTAACAATTGTCTCGATTACCTTAAAAGGATAACAATATACTGTTAGGGGAGGGGTACGTCAAAGAAAGAGGAGAAATACGAACTAGAAAAATTATGACACTTGCAATATACTGTCACGGGAGGGGTTCGTCAAAGAAAGAGGAGAAATACGAACTAGAAAAATTATGACACTTGCTACCCTTCAGGACATCAACAATGAAATAGAGAACATTCATTAAAGATACGAGATACAAAAAAAAAACAACAACAACAAAAACTATAACTTGTCGCGTAATTGCCAATGCTGTTTAAGTTTAGTTTCAATGGTGCTTCTAGTTTTTTAGGCCGCTATTTCTTGTTGCTAAATGGCTTACAGAGTCTATTAAAACCGATTTAGACGGTGAAGCCTAAGTCGTGCTTACAACCTGGCTAGTCGCAGGGTTATCACTGAACAATTGTTTTTTAATCACTACGACAGTTGTAGCCATGTTGTGATATTGAGTTAGGAATGTTGCATGCGATAGTTGTAGGCAAAAGTTCCACCGCATAAATCGACCTTTAGGCAATTTGAAAAATGAGAAATATCGGCKCCAAACTTAAAATGAAAACCTCCTTTCCATTATCATGGAACMAAATACTGTGAAATATTCTTACTTTTGCTATGATCATTCCACCTTCTGGTTTGATATTACCAATAAGGTTCTCACAGCAATGAACAATGGCGGATCCAAAACTCTTAAAAAAAGAAAAAGGAAAGAAAATATAAGTAAAGAGTACAAARTAAAAAATMWTAAAACACCATCAAACATRTTACCTTGAGAAATTCCTTGCCGTCTAAAAGAACGTAACGATCAATGATCGCAAAGCATATCCGTAGGTTTTCACTGCCGAAATCTAATAAAACAAACACCAAAACAAATTGCATAACGACGTATGGTCACATTAAAAACAACAACTGGATTCCCCTTTACTAATGGTAAGCCTTAGTAACAGTAATATTTTCCTCAAACACGACTTTAAGCCGAGGGACTAGTCCGTGCCTTACCTAACAATGGAGGCATGTTGTTGAACAAGTGAAGAAGTTCTTGTGTCATCTCAGTTGCATTCTCGATGGTCTTTTTCCTACACAAAGTCCACAAATATTAATGTCAACCAATCAAACAACCAAAGAGCGTTTTCCTTTTTGTTCGGTATCATTTTCTTACAGTGTAAGAATAGAAACATTACGTACCATAATTCCAAGCCATCTTCCAATAGATAAACATGAGGAGGCTAAAAGAAAAGAGGAAATCTCTTTTTTATCAGCGAGTTGCTGTTGCCGTTGTCGCTGTTGTTATGACTATTGTTGCTGTCGCCGCTACTGTTTTTATTGTTGTTGTAGTTTCAGCTGCTGCTGTTGTTGTTGCTGCAGTTGTTGTTGTTGTTACAGTCAAAAGACATGAAGCGCGCCCCCCAAATATTCATTATTCACTGCATTATTGGACTTTTCATTTAATTTTTCGTTTTCAAACTTCAGTTGATTAATGCAAAATTAAATTCAAATCTCGAACTCTGATAATGACAGAAAACAACACAGCATTTCCAGCTTATTGAGACCGTCATTCCTTTCTCACGAGAAGGAACAGATCTAACCAAATTAACAGACAGCATATTGCAATGCATCGACTTGTGGAAATTACAAAAGATTAGCATGTTTACAAGCGAAATACGTAGAAGGCTTTATGAAAATCCGACCAATAATCCAACCAAATTTCGAAGTTTGAATTCAAATTTGATTTAAATAATGTAATGCTGAATCGACCAAGAATCGAATAATGAATTGAATAATGGTATTTTGAGGGGTCGCGCTTCATGTCTTTTGACTGTAAATTTTATTGTTGCTGCTATTATATTCTTTGCTGTCATTGTCGGCTATTGTCTATTGATGAGTAAAAACGTTTTTTAAAATGTACCTGTGATATGTCTGTACTCAGTTGTATAATATGTAGAAGAAAAGGATAAAGATTAACGCTGTCTGGTCCCATACCCTGTAAGAAAAATAGAGGATATTACTGTACATGGCCGCAATTATACTTTGTTAGCTAATAGATTTTGTTAGAGCTTTGAATGCATTAGTAGACCCTTTGCAAGCATGTCCGCCGTTCATTATTAGTAAGAAAAAACTTACAAAAAATGATCCTTGAAATTCTAAATAATATGCTTCACTAAATGCTTCACTAAGAAGCCGTGCAAAATCCTAGTTGGTTCCAATAAAAAAAACACACACACACACACAGACTGAGATATGATTAGACTGAGATATGATTTTATGAAAACGGAAAAAAAAGAGATTTGTGAGTGGGACGTACATGTATAAAGGCCGAATTATTCGAAACAACTTTTACCTAACAATAATCGCATGCGATYTGGGTAAGTCATCCTTACAACATGGCAACAACTGTCGTGGTGCTATGAAGCAATTGTTATAAATACCCACGACAGTAGCCATGTTGTAAGGATGACTTACACAGCTTGCATGCGATGATAAGGMCGTATAATTCGGCCTTAAGCTATACACTAAACTATACACCCTTTTAATAAGTCCCGAGGTACTGCGTTTTCCTCACTTGACGTCAAATTTATTCTTTTGCAATTTTTTTCGATACAAAAGGAATTCAAAAGAATAAATTTGACGTCAAGTGCGGAGAACACAATATCTCAGGACTTATTAAAAGGGTGTATACATTTTCTTTATGCAGAGTTGACAATGATGTAATATTACCTGTATTAGGTGGGTTAGTGTTGTCAAGATAGCACACTTCAACATGTTATGTTGCTCTGATTCTTGCCATAAATGAGGAAGGTACATCGTAAGTAATCCAACATGGGGACGAATCTTAACAGAAATTAAAATACATCTTGATTATCAACCATTACGTCATGTGATCAAAATCTAACTATATACTCCATACCTTGACCCCGATTCTTTCTATCAACATGGACAAGACATGYAACACGTGCATCTATAGAAATTATACATATTAGTACCTACCAAAACATGTGCTATTACAAATCCAGCAGTCTGATTGGCTACTGAACTATGGTATATTCGTATGGATATAAGGAGCGCATGGCACTATGAGATACATGATATAGAAATAAATTAAGTTATAGTGCTAGGATAGGAGGTTATTCCGGGAAAAAGACCTTTCGAAATAAATTCGGAAAAATTAATTTCCGACCTCGCTGGGATTCGAACCGACGACCTTCGGATTTGTACTACCGATGCTCTTTCAGCGGAGGTAAAAAATAAAAAAAAATAATAATAAATATATAATAACATAAACAATAAATAATTAAATAATGACTTACCTTAGTATCACATTCATTGACTTGACGAAGAAGACTAAACAGCGCTGTTACACTTGCATTCATGTACTGTACAAGAAAAAAGTCGCCTATCTTCAACGTCACTCAAAACAGAATTAGATACAACACAGTACGATGTATGAGGGTACTTACTGGTTCAAAATCATCCATCTTAAAATCAAGATCATCGATGGCTGACAAGTGTTAAGAAAAGCTACATCAAACATGAATGAAATGAAAAAAAGGCCTAATCGGCAAAAGCGTTGCAATAATAGTTTCCACCCAATCCAAACCACCCAGGAGTAATTTTCATTGGTTGTTGTATTTTCATTTGGCAGTTGAATTCTTAACAAAAGTTCTTCTTCCCACAGGATGTAAACTGGGAGGTAACGGACATGACAAGGCGTTAGCCGATTAAATCTATTCCTTGCAGAAATCTGTGAACAATCAACACTATATGACTAACGTCATCAATTTGGTACATACATTTTTGATACAGATCACGTGAGCTATCTAAGGACGGTAAAGGACGGTAAAGGACGGTAAATTGAATGTAAGACAAAAGGATATTAGTTTTCAGTGTATTTGCTGCTGTTAGTCTAACCTAAAAAATGAGGAAAAAATGAGAAAAAAAGTTAATCCTGATAGGACTTCTAGCAGTTCATGAAATATTAACGAGAGAGCTATCTTACCACCAGATCTTCCTGTTCCCTCATCAAGAAGATGAGAGATTCATAAACGAGAGGACGAACAGACGCAGACAATTTGACGTTGACCCACTGTCCAACCAGCCAAGCTGCGCGACGACGAAGAAGCTTTAGTCTGCATCAAAAGACATGTTTTAGAACTTAACAAATTGTGTGCAGATTGTTTTTAACGCATTACACACCACCACTACCTTAAAAAATGCTAGAATTTTAAAGATTTTCAAGTGATTACAAGCATTCATATACCGTGTTTACTCATGTATAACCCCCATTTTTTTTCAAAAAAAAAATCGCTCCCAAATCGGGGGTGCGGCTTATCTACGAGAAGACCTGAAGTAATAATGCCCGAATAAAAGCTTTTGGATAAATCGGTCGATAAATTGGTCATTTTCATTGATTTTAATGAGCTGGGTGTTAGGTGATGTGCGATAGTGTCCTTCACGGTTCCCTGCAYCATCTTGAAAGGTAGCCATGCATTTGCATCGAAGCGAGACGACCGTTGAGCGTGCAACGATAGAAACCTTCTTTCACATCTACAGACATTTAATCACAGGTTTCTATCATTGCATACTCGACGGTTGTCTCGCTTCAATGTAAAGGCACGGCTTAAACATTCAAGGTGGCGCAGGGAGCAGTGAAGGAGACTATTCTACAACATATCCAGCCTCGACCAAGAATAATCTTTCATTATTAAAATACCYACATGTATGTGAGTGATTAATGAAGGACACTTTTTATAGTTACCTTGGAGACGTTGTGTGCATTTCTCTGACAATCTTCTCACTGAACCATTTATCAAAGTCTATTTCACCGAACAAGTCATACGAAGCCAGACCAGCTGCCTTGTAAACTAAAAAAGATAAGTTCAAAATGCTCTAAATTATCGTGAAATTCAGTTAGAAGAATTGTTATAAACCAAAGATATACAAACCTGCATCCTTCTGTAGTAGTGTAGCCATGTCCTCAGAGTCAGGAGAAGCTACAGATCAACAAAAATTTCATTTAAATTTGCAAAGGGTCATTTGAAAATATATTGTAGTCCAACTACAGGTGGGCATGAGACAGTTTCAAAAACCACAAGCCCCCACCTCCTGATAAAAAAAGRAAGTTCACTTAAGTGTCATCAAGGAGAATAGCACTTTCACGGTCCACAGCGCCATCTTGAAAGGTAGCCTTTACATCCAAGCGAGAAAACCGTTGAGCACGCAGTGATATAGATACCTGTGAATAATAGTCTGTAGGTGTGAAAGAAGGTTTCTATCATTGCACGCTCATCGGTCATCTCGCTTTCATGCAAAGGCAAGGCTACCTTTCAAGATGGCACTGGGAACTGTGAAGAAGACTATTAGCAATGCTTGTATTAAAAGTGCTTTATCTTTATTTCTTACCTTGTACTGAATGTATCAACTTAACAACTGTTGGAGTTACTGTTGATCTGTACTCTGCAAACAGTGTCAGGTAGAGAACCTCCGTACTTGGCTGTGAATGGWAAGATAAGCAATGATTCATGGACTAACGTATTTACCGATGTATAAGCCGCTCTCGTAGATAAGCCACACCCCGAGTTTTAGGAACGTTTTTGAGGAAAAAGAGACGGAAAATAAACTTTTCTCTTTTTGATTGTCACTTGCGAACACAGCTTTCTTTGATTTTGAAGTGCTTTTCCGCTACTCGATTTCCGTGATCCATGCATTTCGTATGCAATTACAATCAGTTTATTTAACGTGCGATGTATGGTGATCTTGGAGATATAATTGTTAAGATTGATACTGATAATTGATTATGCAAATTAGTTTTTATCGGGCATTTTTACAAGTCTTCTCGTAGATAAGCCGCACCCCGATTTGGGAACGATTTTTTTGGAAAAAAGTGCGACTTATACATGAGTAAATACGGTAAATACTCTAACTGAATAGATCAATTAAATTCTAAATTACTGTGAGTGTTACCTTCAGTTGATATCGCCATGATTCACCAACTTCTTCATTTACTGTTGACAACAAAAAAAATGAATTATTTCTGAATATTAATCTATTTTTGTGCTTTGTTTGCGAATGATACCTGCCCAATACTTGCCAATTRCAAAGAGAAAAAAWWTTTTTTGGGATTTTTAAGCTGTATTTAAAGGCCTATGGCATTTCAGAACTTTTGCATTATCTTCTAAAATGCAAAAATTCAGCATCTTTGGTTTTGTTCCAATCAGCAGAAAACAACTTTCAATACATATCATTTGCCAAACAAAATAAACAATCCTAAAGGTTCTCAGATGCACACATACTAATAATTTAAATAAGTGAGAGGACAACACTTCTCATTCTTCCTTACTTACCAAAGTCCTCAGGGTCCGATTCCCAATTTTCAAGCTCCTGTAAAATAAATCTGTAATGAAGTATGCCTTCATACCTATATTACTTCAATTGCTTGATGGGAAAATAAAATATGTGATGTTTTTGTTCATAAAAAAATTTATTATACTCATGAAAAAAATCTTAACCAAAGATAGTTTCTCTGCAGGCATCTCTTCATGTTTGGGACTAGTAACTACCTTTCCACAGGGAACCCAAAGTACATAAAAACTTTTTAAAAAAAGATTCACATGGGGGAGGCTAAATTAGTTAGAAAATGTTTTTATATAAAGAAAACACTTACTGTTTCTTTCATTATAAAATAGTGCATCACAAGTCTCTGGATGATTTCATTTAAAACAGATCGAGTGAAAAATGATGTCTTTATCTGTAAAAAGAGTTATAAATAATTTTAATATATTATTTATAATTTAATAAATAAGAATGGAATAAACAAATGAAGTTTGTTCGATAAATACCTGATGCACAGCAAGAGTTTCCTTTGAGGTATCTTCTGRAAATACACATTATGAAGGAAACATAAGATACTTGTCTCAAGTAATCTGACTTGTGCAAAAACGGTATTATTTTTAGCTCAACAGGTTGGTAACAATCCTGTGTAATAGTAAGAGCTGCACATGCATGAGCGTCAGAGTAAGAACAGAGTAGCGGGCCTCATTAGAATATTGTAAGGGTCTCAAGTAATTGGTACTATAAAATCAGCTAAGATACAAATAATACTGCATTATGCCTTACTGCCCAATACAAACATATATTAAAGACACTACCATGTCCCTGCAGTCATGGGGTGCCTCCCCCCACAACTCCACCATAGTTGATAAAACTCTTGCACAGAAACTTTTATAACATAATTATCTAGATGAAATACTTAATATATTTCTCTCTTTCGAAAAGTTGTTATTTTTACTAGTGAAAATAACACATTCAAGGTTTCTCTACATATTGGAAATAAAAAAAAGTAGTAATTGCTTTCATAATTATGTTAGTAATAAATCATGTAGAATATTACATGGTCACTTGGAGAAAGATAAAAAAAATATTTCAGAAACTTTTATAACATAATTATCTAGATGAAATACTTAATATATTTCTCTCTTTCGAAAAGTTGTTATTTTTACTAGTGAAAATAACACATTCAAGGTTTCTCTACATATTGGAAATAAAAAAAAGTAGTAATTGCTTTCATAATTATGTTAGTAATAAATCATGTAGAATATTACATGGTCACTTGGAGAAAGATAAAAAAAATATTTTTTTTAGAATTTTATCTTCTCATSTTTGCTACGCTCACTCGTGAGATATCTTTTCAACACTCGAAGATAAAATCCATATCTCTGTGCGCCCATGTAATATATCCTCTATTTATCATCTCCTTTGTTTGATAAAATGTGCCTACATGTAAATAAAACTTAGACAAAGTTATACTTCAAACCCAATATGCTTTGCAACCCCATGACTGCAGGGTAATTACAAATCGACTCTCTATAGAAGGATCCACTGACATTTTGTACAATGTACCTTTTATTTCTTTCGGAGGTCTGTAGCAATCACACCTTAGTATTGCCCGCATCAAATTACAGCAGTGCACAAGAAATAACTCAAACCCGAGTCCTGCAAACAGAATTTGAAACAAAAAAAAAAAAAGCTAAGTACATGTATGTACAACACAAAAAAATAAAAATGACACTGCTTACCTTCAGTTTCTGCACTGAATACATAAGTAGCACAAAACTGCAAACACTGTTGAACCAAAGGCATGAATGACATGGGATGGTGGTCCATAGTGTCCAATATCTACACAAATATCATGAATCATTTTATAAGGCATTCTAAAWTTTTTTATATAAGGAGCGCTCTGATTGGCTGACGAATGTGTTAATATCAGATGACATGTGCGACTTTTCATATTTCTTTAATAGGAAAGTTTTTAACGAAGTACAAAACGAAAAATATATTTGAAAACATCCTTCAAAAGATACTACTAAAGATAGACAGTCTTCTTGGTCTTCCTGTGTGATGATTATCTTGATTGAGAAGCACTGGTGCTGAGAGATTAAGAACCCCTAACCCCTCCCTGCTAGTGGCAGCTTTATTGATTCACATAGGGGTCCCATGGAGTACACTTCGTACGGGCAGTTGCCTCAAAGGAGTCTATATTTTGGTTTTGCTGTGTAATAATATTCATATTCGTTTAGCTCCTTACACATTTGCTGAGGAGTTTGGCAACTTTTTCCACCATTTCAAAAAGTTTAATATTGCTGTGACCAATTTGCTTCCCTGAAAAGTAAATAAAAAATTAAATGATTGAAGTTTGCCACACTGAAAGAGATACWTTGATATATTAATGAATAAAATTCATACTTACGGCATTGCAAGAACTGCCTGATTTTTTCAAAGGATGAATGAAGAAATACCTAAAAAATAAAAGAAATTACATGTATTCTGACTCCTCCAGCCTAAATTATATTCACRTCTTTGAAAAATGGTGCAATACATCATGGTCACTGACCAAGGCACTGGGGATGAAGCACTAAAACTAATCCTTAGCACTAATCCTTAAAACTAAATCCCCTTGCATGCAAAATTTGTCAAAAAAAACAACAGGAAAACCCTTGGAAAAAAGGGAATTATTTGATATAACACACAAACCATCTGCTTGGAATCAGCTGAAAATCCTTGGTGGCCWTGGATTGTGAGTTTCCTGAGAACTAAAGCAAGTTATATCTTATGTTAAGTCTACGAGTATGACAGTACTAGATGTCAACAAGATCACTACCCAGTACCAACAAATTCAGTGAGGGCCAATTTTGCTTTCTGATTGGCTATGAACAGTGTACTCAGTCTAAACTATAATCATAAGTTTAAATATATAATATATTATATACATGTATAACCCTAGTAGAAGTAACAAAATAAATGTAGAATTTGAAAGCCAAAACCACAACGCATGTACTTACCTTTTACTGTTAAAATACTCAACTCCAATGACTCTTGAGTACTTGAATCCTGTGTATTTTATAATCAGACAATTATCTATAATATAATTAGAAATAACACTCCACAAGGACTGGATAATAAAACGCTATCAATACCTGTTGATGTATTTTTTCCAGGAATGATGTTGAATGTGCTTCCCACAGATTAAGAATATGACCATAGATATTACTGGAAAGCTGTTAGGCAAAAATAATTTGGTCAATGAATAGCTTTCATTAAAATATCATTGAGAATATTAACCATCTGATATTACTGGAAAGATGTTAGGCAAAAATAATTTGGTCAATGAACTGCTTTCATCAAAATATCATTAAGAATTCACACTTTTCTGATCCTGACTTTCCATGACGTTTACAATTGTGGTGGTTTTCAATGAACGACAGAGAAAACCCAATTCATAAACACCCAAACTTTACTATTCATAACATTCAACTTGACGCCATTTTGTGTAGCATTGTACAACTGAACGAACTATTATGCAAAATAAATCACATGGAAAACAGACAAACAAAAGATAATATTGTTTTTATAAATTTACTCAGGAAATACAAAGTTCTAAATCCATCATTCATTTGAAACCCTGCTTTATGGTGTTTTAATTGACTATAATTCATAAAAATTAGGTGAAGTAACTTAGTGCCATTTCATCCTTTGTATCAGTAATAATGGTGGATTAACATTTGTAACATCCTCAGTACTTTTTTTACAGCTACTTTTTATGGTGCCAAAACTTTTCTCAACTGTTCCCTTTACTTCTTTAGAAACATTGACACAGCTCATACTAGTTTAAACCACTAGTTTCCATCATTTTGACTGATTTACATTTTAAAGTCACTGACAATAATAATTCAATTAATAYGAGATACAAGTTTACAAGTACCTGTCTAAACATTTGTCTGTCACTTGCAAGTCTCTTGGAAACCAACATTTTAGTKATATGATTGAGAACCAGTAATGATCTGTGCTGGATAAGGTTAGAAGGGTTCTGTACACCCTAAAAACATGATTAATCAATTTAGAAATGTTGAAATAAATAAATGAAAAAACAAATAGAACATAAGGGAGAGGGGGCGTTAAGAGAGTAGTACAGATTAAGATATGATGGGAAGGGGGGTAAGGGGGTAATCAGAGATGATGAAGAGATTAATAGACGGATAAAATACTGAATGGAAAGAAGGGCAGCAAAAACGGAATTTAAAGAACAGAACAAATATGGGAGAGAATGAACACATGGACAACAAAGAGACATGAGTGRAGAGAAAAGAGGGAAATAGGAAAGAAGGAAAGCAACTGAGCAAAATAAGAAGAGATTGTGGGATGAAATGATGTCAAAAAAGATACAGAGACAGACAGAAGGGGATCAAATGAAAAAGAAATGGGAGGGAAATGGGAAAGAAAGAATGGGATGAACTTCTTATTTTGCCAGGAAAGGAATGAAATAAAATCAAGATATTCAAATAAATTAAATAATGCAAGAAAATATGATGTGACTTATTTACTTCAAAYACAGTTGGCAAAATCTCTGGCCAGCTTTGCAGCTCAATCCTTGCTATTTTTGAAATCAGGACAGCAATTTGGGTTGATAACTGCAATCAAGGAAGCAATATCAAGTTATAACTGAATCCCCATTCTCTAAAATATTGCAAAGAATTAATGGTTATAGATTAATGTCAAATGGAGATGGAAACTGGAGAAATTCACTGAMATACCTGGTGAACAGGTTCATCAAATGTTGAAAGTAACTGTTGTCTGATGACAGCTTTCTCATCCTCGGCAATGGCACTGCAAAAATACATCATATCTTAGTTAGCAATGGTAACTATGGATTAGAAGCTAAATATAGTATCTATAGACTATTTTTGACAAATAATGTAAACTAACTGAGCATTATGCCATGTATGAGACATTGCTCCTATTATTACATGCAACATGAAGAGCTGTGAGAATGGATGAGCAAATGAAGCAAATGGAAATGAGTGAATTGAAATTGAAATTGAGAGAACAAATGGAACATGAGCCATTGAAAGAGATTCGCATTGCCTTGCTACTAGACACCTACCCTCCATCGTAAYGACAAGTTAACAAATAAAATTTAAAACATGAGTGTTAATACTCACTGTGGTGCAGTTTTTCTCCAGTATCTGTCAACCCCATTTTTAATATAAAGGATGGAAAGCCAGCGGATATTTACATCAAAAGATCGATTAGAGAAAATTTGCTGAAACAAAGAAATAAGAAGAATGAATTATAAAAGGAAATCTGAAGCCAAAAGTAAGACTTTCATTCTATAACCTACCATYAATGCAGTGTAAAAACCTGGCTGAGTCTGCCAAGAATTGAGTCTTTGTTCTGCAGGTTTGAGTACTTCAAGATCTTGACTACAGGCTTGCTGGATGGTCTCTAAAACAGCTTCAATTCCACCGATACCTGGTGTCTCCATATTAAATACTATTCTGAACTATTTACTTGCAGATGCACATTAAAGGTAATCAGTTATGGAACATMATCTGCATTCAAGGTCTTAGAATTTTACTAGCTCTTTTGCTTCTAGAGTAAGTTGGCTAAATCTTGATTATCTCTTTGCTTTTTTCCGTTGGRAATTWGATTTTTCCATGTCTGTTGAGAAATAGTATGTGAGAAAYTAGGAAAAAAAAGATTAGGTTTAATTTTTGAATCAATCAATCAATCAAGGACTGCAGAGAAAGATCTTCTTGACGTTTGATATCTGTAGAATTTCGTCGTTTTGCTGTTTTTCTTTTATACTTATGCAAGAGAATTGTAAAATTAAACTTCATGTACTACAACAGTGCAGAATCAAGAATATTTGATGAAGATTTTAACATAAGTATTAAGAAACTTAAACGTTATCTCAGTATGCTGTGCTGTGTCGTGCACACAACTCCTACCTAATTTAGGCGATCCYTTAGATGAATCCGCACAAAATATCTCATTCAGATCATCACTTAAGATCTTTTTCGTCTATCTGGAACGTGTATACAATCTTTTCGACTAAAACAGGTGAGAAAAATGAATTTCCTTTCCGTCAAAGCAACACAAATGGGTTTTCTTCACTTCACGTGTACTGTGGTAACCAGGCCGAACACAGGGAACCCAAAACATATTTTTTTCCTCTAATATTTTAATAATATTTATATATTTTCGAAGCTTCCACCAAAATAAAGATTAAATGCCAAAAAAAACAATGAAAAAACACTGTTGATAATGGAAGATATGTGAAAAAGAAAGAAAGAAGAAGAAGAAGAAGAAGAAGAAGAAGAAGAAGAAGAAGAACAACAACAACAACAACAACAACAACAACAACAACAACAACAACATTCAAGCAGAAGAATACTTTTAAGTGCTCTTTTTAGCGGTTTGGTTCGACACTGGTTTTGACCGTGACGATCCGGTGCTTGCAGGTCGACGTCGGATGAAACTCGGCCTTCCGTTTGAAGCCCGTAAGATTGTACATAAATGACCCATAAATTTAACAAACTATTATACAACTTTTATTTTGTAATCATGATTCAATAAAGTCTATATTTTATTAGTTTCTTATAGAAAATCCTCAGTATTGTAATGCTAATAAGGTATATGCATGTAGATTTTATATTTTTATCTCGTGGGTACCCTGTGGTTTAAACAGGGATTTTCACACTGGGCCTGGGAACGCGCTTGGGAGTTGGCGCGTGTTGTATACGTACGAAATAATAAAAGTTCTTTGTTACAATGGYGTCTCGATTATTCAGAAGGATGTTACTATGGACTCTGAACGAGGTCGGCGATCATTRAGCTTGTTCAGTTCTAAGTTGTCATTTAAGTCTGCGCCTTYGTTTTCAATGCCTGCTTTGCYAGCGATAGTAGTTGAATCAGTGCTGTCTTTACTGCAATGCCAAGACAATCCAAAGAAAATCAGAGACAAAACTGTAAAAATATACAAAAAAATATTACCATCATTGAGACTTGAAGCTATATCATGTAGTCAAAGCATGCTCACTTGACAAGCTATAAAAGAAGTATGCAAAAACTTTTAAGTTTAAAAAATAGTCCATCTTACATTGTGAAGGAGCTCCCATTGTCACTATAATCCTTCCCAGTTTGCTGTAGTCGTAGTTCAAACAGTTTTGATTAACGTTACACTTTGTATTCCATAATGTACACGTAGCGTCGATCATGGCGCCAACCAAAACCGGCGAAGGAATGCCAGAAAGCAGACGCAAGAATAAAAACTGCATTGCTAGAGCTAAGGAACGTTGACTCTCTGATACGCACCTAAAAGAAAAAAACAAGGTGACGCTGTGATATTTTAATACTTTTCGCTGGTTTGCAATGCCGGAGTTCAGACATTTTAATACTTATTCACCAAATAGCCTCAGCAATAAACTGTTCAAGTTTAATTCAATTTCTTTCGATATATATACAGCAATTTCAAACAACATTACTGAATACTTCGATACGGAATAGTGTAATTGCAATACCAAAATGGATTAAATGCTTTTGAACTCCAACTTATAGATATAAAATTCTGAACAAAGTTGCTTTCGCCATAGAAGTTATTGCTGCGAACGAAGTGAGCAGCGACACTAATCCCGCAGGCCTTTTGGGTTCCCTGTGCCATACATACTGAAGACGAAAGTCGATTTCGTGGGCTAGCGATAGACACTTCGAGCGCGGCCCACAGTAAACATTACATAATCAGCGGTTATTATCAAATGATACGCCGTAAACTGCATGGTCTTTCTAGTTATTGCTTTTCGATCTCTTGCAAAGGCAAGTTCGACAAGTATTTAGCATGTTAAAATGCGACTTTATTTATTCGAGGAAGTATTCATTAAGGTGATAATCGTTTTAGCGACATTTCTAGAGGAAGACAATGTGCTTTTTTGAGTCTTTCAGCTTTGTTCTTTGCACATTGTGATGATATTTCGACGTGGACGACAGATACGATGGATTGTGTTTTGGCCGAAGGAGATCTTTTTAACAGCATTCGAAATGCGCTCTATACCTGATAAAGAGACTATTTCTCTGAATTATCTGCCAGGTCGAGTCCTTTGGTCTCCGATGACATAACTTCCATCGCACATTTAGGCAAACCAGCGAAACCAATCGCCCAACGAGGCAAACAAACCAAATCAAATCAATCGCCCGACGAGGCAAACAAATCAAAACAATCGCCCGAAAATAAATAAAAAATTTAAAAAAATACGGTCTGTAATAAAGTGTACATATACGTTCTAATCTTCTTTCTTTTTGCCATGTACTCTCCCTCCATAATCAAATAAACCTAAAACCAATTTGAACAAGCATCACAGAATTTACATATCGCAGCACTTCACTTTCGATAGGAACCGCTAGTTTAATGAACTAAACTGGCATAGTAACTCTAGAACCATGAAATACGTAGCCTGTGTACATCCGTTTCTCACCCCTGAGAAACGGATGTACACAGGCTATGAAATACGTTGAAATCCCCTTACGGCGCGATGGGCCTGAAACCAACAATGCACTTCGGTATGGAATAYAAATTTATCCCGTATCGCTGTATTCACTGTACTCAAGCTCATGTGGCTGTACACATTTGTCTATATTATTCTTTCTTACAATTCTAGCTTTCTTTCACATATCATTCAGCAAGATTATTCATTTATTTGTTTACTGGCTGATTAATTTATCAATACGGGATTCCTGTTGTTTGCAGCAACCTGACCAGGCCAGGCTGCTAAATCATTCAACAGTTTAAGTTGTAGGAGTCAAATCACTAAAATATCTGTAAGTTTAAAACTGGATAAACCCTTATAAGTTCTGAATGCACACAGATTAAACATGATNTTTTATACTACCTTTGAACCAGAGCAGTTTGCTGTGGAAGACATGGTCTTTGAATACATGGAGGACCACCGGGAGTTCGAATTATATGACTTCGCAGTGAATTTCCCAGACCAGACAGACGTTCTGTGCAAAAACAACTTGAGCAAACTTATCGACAAGATAGTTCCATTTGCTGAGGAGCAAGGAAGATTGGAGGACGTCAATATGCTTGCGTCCTCCCACGTCTACGATTACCAACTGAACGTCAGAAGAGGACAWGCAAGCAGTTCTGAGATGATGCAGCTAAACAATAACGCACAGCTRTGCCTGGAGTACATTCCCGTGGAAGAGAAAGAAAAGGCACCCGAGGAATTAGTCACTCTGTCTTCAGTGGCGGAGGCTGAAAGTGTGGTCTTAACCAACAATGACGTGAACATTAAAACACCTTGTTCTCTTGATTCGTCATGCAGAGACCTTGGGTTGAAAGACATGTTTATGTCGCCATCAAGTTCTTCCAGCAGCTTGAGCACTATCGATTCAACTTCATCATGTTATGGACTAAAGGACTTGTTTATGTCACCATCAAGTTCCTTCAACAGCATCAATTCAACTTCTTCATGTTATGGACTAAAGGACTTGTTTATGTCACCATCAAGCTCTTCCAGCAGCTTGAGCAGCATCAATTCAACTTCATCATGTTATAACGTAAAGGACTTGTTTATGTCGCCATCAAGCTCTTCCAACAGCATCGACAGTGATTCAACCTCATCATGCTGTGGTCTTAAGGACTTGWTTATGTCACCATCKCRTTCTGTTGACAGTAACATRTCTGTCATYCCACTTGACGACGATACAATCCCGTTGCCTCSAAAACATAACTTTGGATCGCCATTATCATCATGCAGTGATTTGAGCGGCTTTAATCTGTTTGAAGATGCTGCTCCAGAATGTGAAGATCCTRATGAAGCTCTTATACTTACGGATAATGTCCCATCCACTGATGAAGTTTGTGTATGTATTGAAGATGTTGAGTCTCAAGACGCGACTGTTCATCTGTTTTCATATGAATCTGAAAGTTCACCTCAAYTGTCACGTGACACCACTGCTGCTTCAAGTAAATTGGACACTCATATTGACATTGATTCATTCTCTTTTGAACATGAATCGACTCCACAGGAAGAGATGAAAGCAGATATCGACGCTTCTTCTCCCTTCAAAGCCTCACGTCTAGGGAGACTGCGCAGTTTTCTTAGAAGTCTCAATATATTTGCTGGAGTAATCTGTGCCAAGATTGTATGTACATTTGTCCAAAATTTCCCAGTCATGTAAAAGGATTTATGTACTGAACTTTGTACAATTCACTTCTTAAGTGACCCTACCGTTCTCGCGTCCTTAAAACACCAAAACAATACCTCGTGCCCATATCCACTGAAAATTGACTTTTTATTGTCTGTAGATTTATATTGTCTATAGACCTTTAGTTGTAAATAATGCTTTTATATTGTAAAATACGGAACTGTAAAGAGTGTTTGTAAATACATAATTAATGACAGATTTCATAAACATGATTCTAGCTTTACTCTATATACTTTTAGTTGTAAATAATGCTTTTATGTTGCAGAATACGGAACTGCAAATAGCTGTTTGTAAATATTATAATTAACGAGGATTTCATAAACATAATTCTAACTCTACGATGCTTTTTGTTTCATTCTATTGTTTATCTAGTATTCTATATTTTTCAGCGCGGTTGGTGATTCTTTCATTAAAGT